ATATATGTTTAGTGGCCAGCTAATTTCTTTCTGTTTTTTTTTAGTAGAGACGAGGTCTTGCTGTTGTTTAGGCTGGTCTCGAACTCCTGAGCTCAAATGATCTGCCTGTTTCGGCCTCCCAGAGTGCTAGGATTACAGGCATGAGCCACCACACCTGGCCCCATCTGTTATCTTTTATGAAATGTCTTTTATCTTTAGTTCATGTTCTAATTGGATTATTTGGTTTTGTACTGAGTTGTGAGAAGCCTTTATATATTCTAGATACTAGTCCTTTCTCAGATTAAGCAGTTTGCAAATATTTTATTCTACTCTGTGGCTTGTCTTGTCATCCTCCTAACAGGGCCTTTTAGCAAAAGTTCTTTTTTTTTTCTTTTTTTAAGAGGTGGGGTCCTGCTGTGTTGCCCAAGCTGAACTTGAATTCCTGGGCTCAAGCAATCCTTCCACCTCAGATGCCTGAGTAGCTGGGTCTGCAGGGCATGTACCACCATGCCTGGCTTAAAAGTTTTTAATTTTAATGAAGTACAATTTATGAATTTAAATTGGTGTTCCATTTTGCAATGATTTTTGTATAAAAATTTTTGTGTTGGCCGGGCGTGGTGGCTCACGCCTGTAATCCTAGCACTTTGGGAGGCCGAGGCAGGCAGATTGCTCAAGTCAGGAGTCCGAAACAGCCTGAGCAAAGACCCGGGTCTCAAAAATAGAAAGAAATTAATTGGCCAACTAAAAATATAGTATACAAAAAATTAAGCCGGCATGGTGGCACATGCCTGTAGTCCCAGCTTACTTGGGAGGCTGAGGCAGAAGGATTGCTGAGCCCAGGAGATTGAGGTTGCTGTGAGCTAGGCTGATGCCACTCACTCTAGCCTGGGCAACAAAGCGAGACTCTGTCTCAAAAAAAAAAAAAAATTTTGTGTTAGCTTAAGGGTTTTTTTTCCTTTTTGCCTGTGTATGAACAATGAACAATTGCTCTAGCACCATTTGTTGAAAGGCCGTCTTTCCTCCATTAAATTCCTTTTGCACCTTTGTCAAAAATTAAGTCGAGCATATTTATGTGGGTTTATTGGTAGGTTCTTTATTCTGTCCCATTGATTTATGTGTCTAACCTCTCACTAATACTACACAGTCTTGATTACTGTGGATATCTAATAAGTCTTGTAATTGGGTAGGTAGATTATTTTCTCTTTATTCCTTTTTATTTTTTAATTTTTTTGAGACAGAGTCTCATTCTGTTGCCCAGGCTAGAGTGCCGTAGCGTCACCCTAGCTCACAGCAAACTCAAACTCCTGGGCTCAAGCAATCCTGCTGCCTTAGCCTCCCTAGTAGCTGGGATTACAGGCACGTGTGCCACCATGCCTGGCTAATTTTTTCTATATATTTTTAGTTGGCCAATTCATTTCTTTTTTTTTTTGAGACAGAGTCTCACTTTGTCGCCCAGGCTAGAGTGAGTGCCATGGCGTCAGCCTAGCTCACAGCAACCTCAAACTCCTGGGCTCAAAGCGATCCTTCTGCCTCAGCCTCCCGAGTGGCTGGGACTACAGGCATGCGCCACCATGCCTGGTTTATTTTTTCTCTATATATTAGTTGGCCAATTAATTTCTATTTATAGTAGAGACGGGGTCTCGCTCTTGCTCAGGCTGGTTTCGAACTCCTGACCTTGAGCAGTCCTCCCGCCTTGGCTTCCCAGAGTGCTAGGATTATAGGCGTGAGCCACCTCGACCAGCCAATGCCTATTTTAATAAGAGGCATAAAATAGCAAAAGTAGCTGGTGCTAAAATTTGAAATTATGGCTAACATCTTTGGCTATGATCTTAAGTTTATAAAGTAAAATTTAAATATATAATTATATACTGATTACCAAATCCATAATAAATATCATTTTAATTTAAAAATAAAACTTAAAAAGGAAATACAATAGAATGTATCAAAATTTGTGGAACACAACTAAAACAGTATGGAGAAAGAACTGTATAGCACTAAAATGCTTATATTAGAAAAGAGGAAAGGTCTCAAATCAGTAATTTAAGCTCCCATAGCAAGAACCTAGAAAAAGAAGTTCAAAATATACCCCAAACAAGAAAAAAAGGAGTAAATAATAAATATAAAAGTAGAAATCAATGAAATCAAAACAGAAAAACAAATCAATATAACAAAGAGCTGAGTCTTTGAAAACATAATAAAATTGACAAATTTCTGGCAAAACTGACAAAAAAAGAAAGCACAAATTAACAGTATCAGAAATAAAACCTGGGCCATCACTAGAGATCCCACAGATCTCAGAAGGTTAACAAGGAATACTATGAACAATTTCCCAAACACTGATTTCACAACTTAGATGAAATGGACCCATTTCACTAAAAAAAACACAGATAATCTGAATGACCTTATAACTATTAAGGAAATTGAATAGGTGATTTTAAAACTCACGAAAAAGAAATCTCTAGGCCCAGTTTTACTGGAGAATTCTACCAAATGTTTAAATAATTAATACTGATTCTACATAATATTTTTGAGAAAATAAGAAGAAACACTTTCCAATTAGTTTTATGAAGCTAGTATTACCCTGATACCAAAAACAAGACAAAAATAAGACAAGGTGGGGACTATAGACTAACAGAGATAATATACAGTAATCCTCCCTTACCCACCATTTTGTTTTTCAGTTTCAATTACCTGCAATCAATCATGGCTTGAAAATACTAAATGGAAAATTCCAGAAATAAACAATTCGTAAGTTTTAAGTTGCATGCCACTCTCAGTAGTGTGATAAAATCTCACACTGTCCTGCTCTGTCCCACTCAAGATGTGAAATGGCCCTTTGTCCAGTATACAGTCTACCCAGCCCCCCACCAGGAACTTAGCAGCTGTCTGAGTTGTCAGACCCCCTGTTGCAGTGTGGGTGCTGGTGTTCATTCAAGTCACCCTTATTTCACTTAGTATTGGCCCCAAAGTGCTACAGTAGTAATGCTGGCAACTCAGACATGACAAAAAGAAGCCATAAAGTGCTTCCTTTAAGTGAAAAGGTGAAAGAAAGGTCTCAACTTAGTAAGGAAAGAAAAAAAATCATATGCTTAGGTTGCTAAGATCTACAATAAGAACAAATCTTCTATTCATGAAATTGTGAAGAAGGAAAAAGAAATGTTGTGCTAGTTTTGCTGTCACACCTCAAACTGCAAAAATTACAGCCACAGCGCATGGTAGGTACTTAGGCATTTAAATTTGTGGATGGAAGACATGAACAGAAACATGTCTTGATTAATAGCAATTGGTTTTGGTACCATCCATGGTTACAAGAATCCATTGGGGGCTGGGCGTGGTGGCTCACGCCTATAA